GTTGACTTCATTTTTATCTGTAATACTTTTGGAAGCTGGAATATGCTTAGAATATCAGAAATATATTCAAAATTATTCACAGAAAGCTAGCAGTATTTCTTAGAGAATATTTAGGCTGCTAAAATAGACTATTAAAATACAACAGTGAAAAATGCTGTGGGTCTACTTTTAGAGGTGAACACCAGCTATGGATAGTAACAGTCCAAAATGGAAAGTGTAAAACTGATGCTCTTGACGTCACAGCTGTAAATTTTTCAGCAAGTTGCAAGAGAAAGGAGTTTCTGGATAAAAGTGGTAGAATAGTACAAGTTAGGTGGAAGGAAAAATAGAGTGCATTATAAGCCAACTACCTTGTTAGTAGGAAATACTAACTTTTTCATTCAAGTTATGGCTGTTTTCAGTATAGTGAACACAGGCTTGGTTTTGGAAGTGCAGAGAAAAGTGTGAGGTATGTTTTCAATTTTTTTAAAACATAGGCTTGGAAGAGGGAAGAAACAGACTTGTTGCCTGATGTGATTTTCAAGTCTATGACATAGTCAAGAACCCATGACTTTTGTAGTTGAATTCAAAAGATACCGAAGTATCTGATGTGTCTGTTTTGAATTCTATCGAAGAAAAATTTTACTCTGACTGAAACAGGTCTTGTGGAGAATGCAAAACCATGTATGTTTAGTCATTTAGTGAATGCAATTGCAATATGTGTGTCCTGATGTATTTTTTCAATACATTATAGTCCGATTTTTGACCCTGGCATTTCTGAGCAAACTCCTTGTATTTGTAGCTATTAGTTGCCCGTTTGAAGAAAATAGTTTCTCCATTACATTATCAATTACTTGGTTACTTGGTTATGAACTACAATTACTTCAAATCCATTACTTAATAATTTTGTAGTTTAGTACTGGAATGGAATTAAGGCTTTTTAATACATACGTGATGTATTTTTCTTATCTTTAATGGACCCTCTTCTTTGGAGAAGTAATTATTTCCGTTTGTGCTTCTATGACTTCTGCATTTACTTACATAATAGATTATAAGTTTACTCAGGTTTCACAGATCTTGTAGGCTCTTGTACTTTTTTTACTTTGATCCATCGTATCTCCAGTTCTCTGCTCTGTACTTTGATAATGAAGGTTCAAGCCTAAAATACATCAAATGAGGCTATATTAGAGTTTCCATCAAATTTTCAGTCTCTTTATAAAGAGATTTGAATAACTCATGAGATCTCTGGGGAAGGTCAAGAACAGAGTTTCTGGAGTTTAGTGCCACCAGTGTCACCTAAGCTGGTGATTTTTCTTCTGAGTAACTCTCACCTTGGCGTGTTCTGCTGTGTCAAAAATTGGCAAAGTTAGCTGCATTTTCTAAGTTTCTTAAGGTCCTTTCATGAACATTTGAAGGAGCACTGGTTTAGTGAGCATGAATTTTTGCCTCCAAACAAGAATGTCTCTTTCAAGCTTTTAAGTAAGTAATTGAAAAATACTTACCGTTAGGTGAGTTGAAATGAAAACACTGTTTTCATTATATCTCTGCGTGAAAATATATGAATTATAAGCTGGAAGGCAACAGTTAAAAATTAGTGTCCATCTTTTTTTTTTTTTTTTGACTTGCCTTAAAAGAATGAAATGAATTGTCACGAACTGTAACTACACTTTGGTGTAGTGTTGACTACACCAATGAGTTGGAAGATGTAGGGTTTATCTAGCCATCTTCATTTGTTCCCTATTTTGGTTTCAGCTATCGTTTTGCGTTTTAACTTGAAGCATTTGAGGAAGCAGCTCCAGTGGGTTATAGGAAAACGTGCAAGCCAGCTCAGTGTAATAGGGTTTACTTTCAGGAAAGGGGATCTAAAGCAGAAGATAATTATGCATTTAAAAGAAGGAAGCTCACCCAGGGTTCTGTGGTAAGTACGCACTCCTTTAAAGTCATCGTGTATACATGGCTTAATGTCAGAATAGCAATGTGGAAATAACAAAATTGTGACATGTGCCTTTTCAAATGTATGACAGGTGCTTTTCCAGCATCAGCATTGTATGCACGAAAAGATCTGCTTCAGAGACCTACACACATTGCTACCAAAACTTTCCAAGGTCTACGAATATTTGTGAATGATGAGCTTCATGAACTCATAACAGGGCTGAAGACAGCTGAGAAGTTTCTAAAACCTGGAGGTCGTCTTGCAGCCCTCTCGTTTCACTCACTAGAAGATCGTATCATCAAACGTTTTCTTCATGGAATAGGCATGACAGAAAAGTACAATCTTGGCTCAAGGCAGAAGATAAGACGGGCTCTGAAAAATTGCTCCAAGGAAGAAGATACACAAGAATTCCCCCATGGAAAATCCAACTCAAAGTGGACTTTTATACAGAAAAAAGTTCTCACACCCCAGGCCAAGGATATTCTAACAAACCCAAGAGCGAGATCGGCCAAGCTAAGAGCTGCTATTAAACTCTGAAATAAAGATGAATCATCATATAATTGTATCATTTCCTACAGTTTCATTTTCTGGAGGACTAACTGGACAGATAACATCAAACAGAAAAATCAAGTGGAAAAGGCTGTTAAAAAACATGTTTCCCATCATTGTACTTGTTTTTTATTAGGGTGTAAAGTAGAAGATCAAAAGGTAAAGTTATAAAATAAGTAAAATAAGTTGCATGAGTGGGTGTTGCTGATTATACAAAATGTTTATCTTTAAAAAGGACAAAAACTAAAGCTTTTATAAACTGGTTTTGATATATTTAAAATATTTCCTTTAAACTCAACTCAGAACTCTGACACTTCCAGTCTAAATTCAGTAGCTGATTGAGATGGACATGCTTTTATGGCTGGTGATGTCATACAACAGAGTCAACTGACTGTCCTAACCTAGTATATTTTTTTAAGCTAGCTGAAGAACTCACGATATAAAAAATTATTGATGTATAAACCTGTGTCTGTTGAGTTGTTGAATTAACATCTGTATGACAGTAGCTTGATCTTGCATAAATTGATATCATAACCTTATGCCTAATCCAGGAATTTATGAATGATCTCTTACCTCTGTTAATAAGAAAGTATTTACATGATAGCCTGGTTATTTAATGTTTATTGATTTTAAATAATGAATAGGTTTTGAGAAAAAAGGTACTTCAGAAGGCCTCTGTATTGCATTTGGACATTATAAGCAGAGAGCAAACAGCAGGAAGATTTGTACTAGATAATTTGAAGTTATTCCTGTAGTCCTAAATTCTGCGCATAGGTCAAGTAAAAGTTTGATGTGTTGATGAAATTATTACTAACCAGCCTATTCTGACTCCTCCAAAGTATTCTCCTTTGCAGATGATGTTTTAATAAGAGTTATTGTAGGTAAGCAGTGAGTTCTATTTTATAAGTGAACTGCTAAAGCCAGTTTCCTACTTGGATAGCATACTAACTAGTAAATTGGTGATATATTTTTGATTAAGATAAAATGAATTGGATTTAGCTGTAGATTTGTACTGTATTGTAAAAGTTCATTGCTGTTGCTGTTTTTGCATGTTAATAATGATTACATAATAACATGTTTCAACTTATTTGACCTCTGACTCATCTTTGAAGGAAAAAAAAAGTCCTTATTTGAATATTTGAATAATAAAATCTATAGCAGGATACCATTTGCAGAGAAGAGACTGGAGACTAGCAGAGAGAATAAGAAAATGCAGTATTTGACTTTGAGCTAAATAATTACTTCACTAGCTTTCAGAAGAACACTGGATCATTCCAGACTTGACTTTCATCAAGCATCCTTTTCACATTGCTTACTTCTCTGGAGTTTTTTAGGATTATATTGATACAAACAAATAGGAATTTAGATTAACCACCTATAACGTTCATTAAATACTTGAATATTGTTTAATTCTTTGATAAAGCTTGGTCATGATAACATAGATTAGTAATGTAAAACACCAGGTGAATGATGATGGGCACTTCTGAAATTTCAATATTTTCACTACTTTCGTTATATGTATTATTAAATATTAAGTACAACATTCCACTACAAATATCATTTGATGTTGACATCTTAGAGACAACAGATGTTTGAATGAAAAAATGTCTATTTAAGGTAACATTAAATATAAATGGTGAAATTATTTTTAGTTTAGGTTCTATATTGAAATGTACTCCAATTGTAGGTTGGAAAAATTGCGTTTCTGCTATAGGCTTAGAACAGTTACAGTGCACTGCTATGTGCTTCAGGAACGTGCTTCAGGGCAAGACCTGCCAGTTGTGTGCACATGGATCCTAGAAACTATATGAAGACATTAAAACTTTATCTTTGGTGAAGGTTGCAATTCCTTTTAGGTTGGAGTTGCACAATCATGGAAATGCATCAGTTACTGAGCTCTTGTCTGTAGAGGATTGGTTTCATTATTCTCAGTGTCTCTTCACCAACCCAAGGTGAAGCCTTACTGGACCTGGTGCTCACCAGTGCAGAGGAGAGCATTAGAGAGGTTAAGATGGGAGGCATCCTGAGCCAGAGAAGGACCATTAAGATGATCAGGGGCCTGGAGCACTATGGCTGGCTGCTATGAGGAAAGGTTGAGGGAACTGGGCTTGTTTAGCCTGGAGAAAAGAAGGCTCTGGGGAGACCTCATTGTGGCCTTCCAATACTTGAAGTGAGCGTATAGACAGGAGGGGTAACAGCTGTTTACAAGGGTGGATAGTGATAGGACAAGAGGGAATAGTTTGAAACTGAGACAGGGGAGGATAGGTTGGATATTAGAATCACAGAATCACAGAATCACCCAGGTTGGAAGGGACCTCAAGGATCATGTAGCTCCAACCCCCCTGCCTAGCAGGGCCACCAAACATACACATTCAGATCAGGTTGCCCAGGACCCCGTCCAACCTGGCCTTAAACACATCCAAGGACGGGGCATCCACAACCTCCCTGGGCAGCCCGTTCCAGGGCCTAACCACTCTCCTTGTATAGAACTTCCCCCTAAGGGAAAGGGGAAGTTTTTCACTCAGAGGGTGGTGAGGTACTGCAGGAGTTGAAAGTAGATGATCATTGTGGTCCTTTTCAACCCACGCCATTCTATGATTCTGTGATTCTTCACTTTCAGCCTTGAACTTTCAATAAGAAAAGTCCTCGAATTTTAATTTCTGTGTGCCAGAAAATAGAACTTTCTTTTTCCTCTGAAAAACTTCTGGTTATTCTTAGTTAAAGTATTCTGATATTTTTAAACCTTGCTTCTGTTTAGTTGGTGAAGTTATATTATCTGAAGGATATTAAGTTTTTATATTTTTTTTCAGGATACTTGCACACATAGCATATGTTGAACTTTCCTAACGTATGTGGTTCATGTCGTGGAATTAAATTTGACTGTTGTTGTTGTTTTAACACAATCAAACACAGTATTCATGAATGTGACGGCATCTGTTGGAAAATCAGTCTTAATGAAAATTAAATCCTGCTGATACAAATTTTAGATAATTTCTAAAAAAAATAAAAAATAAAAAAAAAAATTGCCAGTAAAGTTGAGTGATATTCAGTTTAAAATAGCAAAATGCAAGGCCATACATGAAAAGCAAGGAAGCAAAAACTGTAGCCTGTATTGACAAAGATAGTGGCAGTACCCCATGGTACTGTATGTAGTGGGCAGAGCAAAAATGGCTGATATGTTCGATACTTGTAGAACAGCAAATTTTATCATGTAATATCAAATAGAATCTATGAAGGTAGTGGTAGTAGAAAGATGGTGGTGTTGCCAAGGAATGGGTACGTGCAGAACGTGTTGCCAGAATATATCTGTTCTTGTTAGTACTTCAGAAGAATTTGGGAAAAAAATCTGCTATCAGGACTATTCTTATGCATTGTAAATGTACTTTATTTTGAAAAGTATTTTAAAAATCTGACTCAATTATTTAATCCAATGGAATTCAAAGAGTTGATAAGCAAGAAGGTAAGATTTTCATTGTTTCAGAATGTGAACGGTTAATAATATATTGTTCAACTAATATAAAGAATTAATATCTTTTTTATGTGTTACAATTGAGTAGTTTCTCAGTATTTTTATAGTCACATCTACTGAGATTGGTACTTGACTGGGAAAAACGTGTGTCAGAAATGTGAGCTTTGGTATAGATGTGTTGTGGTATTTGGCAGACAGACGATTGGAAGAGAGGGATCTTACTGTGAATGGAAAATATAGTTATTTCTGTACACTCTATTAACAAATGGCCATCCTCTAATAGCAAGTGTTGTATAAGGCTTTGCATGCTGCTTTCTGGACTAACATTTCTATTATTATTACTGGTTCACGTAGTAATTTCCTGTAATGCTGCTGTTTATATTGGAAAAGACATGGTATTAATTAGAAAGTTTATACTCTAAGGAGTGTCACAGCACCACGAGGAAGGAAGTGTGAGGATGTTTGCCCTGAGGTAAGGAGACACGTGGAGGTGAGCTGGTTGTGACAAGCAGTCCTAGATGCAGATTGTTGGTGATTTAATTTGATTAATTAATCTCAGTTTTGACTCATTATTTGGAGTATCAGTGTACAAAAGCACTTGTGACAAATGAGAAGAACTTGAAGAACCAGAGAATAACAAAACCCATAAGCCAGTTTGTCACGGTCCTGCCTAATGTCTTTAGCACAAGTATTAAAGAGTTCAGACCTGCTTTTCTCATGTCTCCAAAATCTCTCCGGTAAGGGCTGTTTTCACAGGATCACAAATTCTGTTTGATGGATTGTGGGTCTTTATAGCCACACATGTATTTTTTTGATGTGGAAGTTGTTTAATAGCAATTAGTATGCTATTACAAGTCTTTCAGAATTAAATATGGAGGCCTTTTTACACCTGACATTTAGTACAATTAAAGCAGGATTTTTGGGGATTAATTAAAACTGCAGTGTTGTAATAAACATTGCAAAAAAATTGAGTGAAAGTAGAATGGCATCTGCCCTTCCTCTCCTCACAGACCTTGCGGAAGATACAAGAAAAAAAAGCATTTAATCAGATTGTAAGAAGGAAGCTGTGAAATCGAACACCTTAGAGGAAAAAAAAAACACACTTTATGGCGATGTTAAGTAAGTTAACTTGACATTTTTAATAAAATTTCACACACATGTATGCAATATTTTATCACTTTTTTCATTCACTTTTTCCTGCTTTAGGATAAGCAGCAGTGGTGAGATAGCTCCATGTCTCTACATGGAGGCATGATTTCTAATGCACAATCAGCAGTAATGGGGGAAGACACGTGCTTTTAAATCCAGCTCTGTATATTCTTACCTTTGTGTACTTTGTGGTTAGAACTGTGTCTGTCTGTGAATGGAATGTATGCTAGTCTCAAGATTAATGAGAAGAAAAGGCTTTTCTTTTTTTCAGAACTCAGTAACCGTCAATCTGACTTTATTAAACATAGCAAACTACCTAAGAAGCATTAAGTGCAGATGACAAACTGTGCTTTCTGATACCTTTCACATCTCCAAAACAGAAACACTGGAATACTTGTTCGTGGAAGTGTAAGCTAAAAAAAAAACCAGACAAAACAAACAGCACATGATTGGTTGGTGACATTTCTTACTATTCTCATGTTTTTAACAAATAAAATATTTTCATTATCTCTTATTCTTTAGGAAAATCACATCTTTGCTAGTGTTTTTAAAGCCTAGTTTGATTGCCTACAGTGTTCAGACAAAATCTAGAGATATTATTAAATTTACAATGTTTGTGAACTTAAATTCAACACTTTGTTTATAGCTGTCTCTTTAAAGAGTAAAACTGGAGATACAGCTCCCTCTGTCTGCCCTGGGAATACCTATGCTTTGTTTTTTTTGTAGTGCACCTACGAATGAGCAGAGTAACAGCACATTCAACATGGGGATACAAGGCAAAAAGATGTGGAGAAGTGTTGTTTCTTTTACAGGTCAGTAGTTGTTTCCAGTTACACTAACTGCAGTTTTCAGAGAACAAAGGCTGTGAAGGGGCGAATTCAAACAAACTTACTCTCAAATATACATTATTATGAGAGCAAAATGTAGATATGAATAAAAATTATTGATATTCATTAGCTCCCATACAATTTGTTTTGTTGACATGAACTAAAAAAGAGTTCTACGCTGGTGGAAAAATCTGCATAAAATGTGAAAGCTTAGGAGATAGGATAGATACTGAAATGAAAATAAATTATGGTATATAAATCAACATCTTAGAATTCATGTATGACATAACTGAGTGAATACTTAACTTCCACTGCTATTTGTTTACATGTCACGTCAGCTTGAGTGTGTGGATGCGAGTCTGGCAAAGGAAATGTAATCTGCTTTTCGGGTTTAGCTGGTTTGTGGTTTGTATTTGCACTTATCATACAGTAGAGCTCAGGGAAAATCACTACTGTGTTTATGATGATATTAGAACCTTATATTAGCTGTGAGTATATTAAGAATGCTAGCAAAGTTATATCACAAGTCGATAACTATAAAAATAACTGCAAGAAACCAAATAATCTTGAAGCATGGTGCTATAACTTGTGTGCCAAAGTGTGTGAAATACTTAAGAATAACTTGGCCACTAACAACATAGGCTAGAAAACCTTATTTCAAACTATTTATTATGCTCATTTCTACACGCCCTTCTTGTAACTTATTTTTCTCCTTTTAATCAAAATTAATTTGATGCTTAACAAAATCTCTCATAGACTTTACAAAGAACCGAAATGGTACGTATTGACAGCCCTGGCTGATAAGTATTTGAAAATGAGGATATCGTAACAACTGTTTCATACAGTACAAAATATATATTCTCAAGAGTAATGACACAGGCATGCCTGTTAATACACGCACAGTCTGAGAGCCTAATCTTGCAACCTTTACTTATGAGAATAGTTTTATTAAAATTAATATATAATTTCTAAATGTCCCATTTCTTGGAAGTCGTAATAGGGATGTGAGCTGAGATGTCGGGGGTAGGCAATGAGAGATGAGGTTGTGGAGGTAAGTCCAACACTCTAGTAGGTGAGCTTCTATTGGAAGCTGAATAGGCTTGGTGCTCTACCAAACAGAGTCTGCTGAGTATGGGGCAGTCCACACTAACTGGATTAATGCAATGCTGCCTAAGAAGTTACAATAATGATGAATTAACAAACTTCTTGATATAGAGGCAGATCCACTGGTGTATCTGAGATTTCATTTCATAAGGGCTTAGTAATAGTGACAGTGGGTTTCGGGTATGAAAAAAGGATTTTAAAAGATTGGAATTGAAGCTAGTTTTTAGGTCACTCCAAAAGTAATGCCTCCTACTTACTTCCATGGAAACTGTAACAGATACAAAGAGCACTACAACATTTTATAGAACAAATCTACAAATCGGTTACAAAATGCTGTTTTACAACACATTCAACACCATGAGCTATGCTTTTTCACCTGATGAAAAAGATGATGAAGAAGATGAACAAGAGCTTGCATACCATGATCCTACAATCTTCACCAGCAGAAGTCACCCATTGTTGCTTTTGCTGCTGCTGAAATGCACCACCCACCTCCTTTCTGTGCTCACATCCACTGTTTGATCTCCATAAATGTTCAGCAAGTATCAATGAATGTCCATTTTTTCCACATGGGGAAGTTCAGTGACACCCTTTTACTTCATCTGCACTTCCATGTCAGATGCCATTTTGTCAGGCTGCTCCTCTGCTGCTGTCTGTCACATAGCAACAAAATGTAGTGAAATACTGGTGGGAAGGTTCATCCTCTACTGCCATAGAAGATCTGCCTCTGACGTCATGGGCTAAAATTGTAACATAGGAGGCATTACTTTCAGAGCAGTACTGGGGCTGGAGCAGCTCTGCTATGAGGAAAGGTTGAGGGAACTGGGCTTATTTAAACTGGGCTTGTTTAGCTTGGAGAAGAGAAGGCTGCGGGGAGACCTCATTGTGGCCTTCCAGTGCTTGAAGGGAGCGTATGAACAGGAGGGGGGGGAACGGCTGTTTGTGAGGTGGATGGTGATAGGACAAGAGGGAATGGTTTGAAACTGAGACAGGGGAGGTTTAGGTTGGATATGAGGAGGAAGTTTTTCACTCAGAGGGCGGTGAGGCACTGGCACAGGTTGCCCAAGGAGGCTGTGGATGCCCCATCCCTGCAGGCATTCAAGGCCAGGCTGGATGTGGCTCTGGGCAGCCTGGGCTGCTGGTTGGTGACCTGCACACAGCAGGGGGTTGGAACTGGATGAGCGTTGTGCTCCTTTGCAACCCAGGCCATTTTATGATTCTATAGTTCTATGATCTTAAAGCCCTCGTTTGACTATTTGAGTTTACCTTGATATCTGTTGCTGTCATTAGATGAAAAACATGCACTTCTCCTCTTAGTTTGAGTTGAAGAATGAGATGTCCGGCTCACTTCACTGTCAAAGAAAAGATCAGTTATTTCAGTCCTTTCCCATTTGTGAGAAAGCTGCCACATGATCTTTGCTTTTCAGGCCACAGTAAACTCTAGTAACACAGGACTAGTTGATAGATCTAAATCTGCAGATATAGAAGTGGAACAAAACTTACATAAGTATTTGGAAACAGTATACTGTGAATTCTCTGTTTCCTTAAATTAGAAATAGGTACATAAGCTTTATTTCTCAACACCAAGTACAGTTTTAAAGATGTGTTGCCGTCATAGATTTAAAAGTTAAACTTTCAGGACCCTCTAAGACAATCCTGAGCACTGAAGCAATAGGACATTGGAATACAATTGCGTCCGACTTGACTAAATCTGCAAGGATTGTTCAGTGATGTGGAAACTGAGGAATACCTCCAGCAGTGCACAGTGCAATTGGTTGTTGTGTAATCTAAAGTTGCCTTGGGTGTGATGAAGATTGAGGGTTATTGGTGGGGAATCATTTTATCGTTCTCAGAATACTGCACGTGGCTGGTTTGGGGCAGGTTTCATTTGAGGGGTGGTGTTATACCATCTACAGTGGGGAGAATTGTTTAATTTCAAAGATAGATCTTCAGGAATATCACTTTCACCGATTAAGTTCTACATAGAATTTAAATTGCCTGAGTCATGTTTCCATTTTTTCCTCAAATTGTGCTACACAGGTGGGCAGTTAGCAACTCTGACCCAGTGTTAAATTCAGCAGCCTGAAAAGTTCTAAGGCTTTAAAGTATCACTGGGAGAAAACTTGAGAAGCATCAGAATGTGTGGCTAGTACCCAGTTTGCTTGTGGAGGCTGCCTTTAATAATTATTATCTCCATTAGCATTCAGCACAGCTACTACTGCTTTTCTGAAGCCCAGTGGGGGAAATGGGTAAAAAAGACTTGTGGTTCACTAGTTGCCTTTCCAGTGCATGTTGTACCAGCATTTTGTGCAAGAGCATGAAAATGTCATTTTGCTTTGTTTCAGCAAAAAGCTTAGATAACATATGCAGGTGTGAAGAGCTGTTATATGCCTGAATGTTGCATGAAAGGCCAGGACTTTGCATCAAGAGAATTGGCCCCTTGCTGTCATTTTGCTTTGAATAAAGAATTAGCTATAATGAAGACTGTAATCACTTAATATGTTTTTAATAACTAATTTAATTAAACCTGTGGGGATAGCATATTAATCCTGAAAATAAAAGCAGGTCAGTTAAACGAGAGCTGTTAATGTTGAACAGAACAAACCCAGACCTTGTTGGACAAAATTTATTGGCTTTATAGTGTGTTACGATGACTGTTGCATTTGGGCCAAAGCAACTGTGTCTGTTATGCTATCCTTTTCTTGACTCTGTACCAGCTTGGCTTTTCATCTGATGTTCTCCTTAGCACCATTTCAGTTGACTTACAACCATGTTAAAGTATCATTAAGTTCTAGCTCATCTTCCACCTTTAATTGCTTTCTTGCCAGTGTATGTGATTATCAACTCTTTAACAATTTTTTTTTACATTATCCATCTCTTCAGAATTATTTAAAATAGTTGGTGATGAGCAGCAGTGGAACATGCAAGCAATATTGAATTTATTTATTTTTTTAAAGTTGACGTGTACAATTTTGGCAAATAGTGTAGTAGGCTTTTTCATCTGGGGAAATAAAGACTGTTAGAATCCAGAACTATTTAATGGAGACTGGCAAAATAACCAATCTCCAGCAGCATGCCAGCAACTACTTGTCACTTCTGAGTTTAATCTACAAGAGGATTCATCATCTGTGGCAGATGTCTGTAAATACACAAATCTATTGATCCAGTACTCATTTTCTGCAGAAATGTAGCTGGCAAGGATGTTTACATCTCCATGCTGAATGTAAAGCACGTTACCTTATCTGTTCAGAGAGGAAAAATCAAAAAGGAATGTAAGGGGTTTGTGTGTGTGTGCACATGTTGTTGCATAGCAGAGGTTAATAGGCTGGGAATGTATGATTTCTTTATTACCCTTGATTCTTTTCTATCATCTACACTCATCAATAAATAAATAAGTTAATTAAAAAGCTGCTTCCAAGGGACAGAATACAAATCCCTAAGATGTATCAACACTTCTGACGAAGATTTAGCCTCTGGCTTAAAAGATGCATAGGGTTATGGATGGTTGAAAGCTTCAATCGCTTTTACTTTGAGAACGAGCCGAACAAACAGCAGTAGTTAATGAATGGTGCAGCGTCCCACCAGAAGCTGTTTGGCCAGAACAGGTGAGGTGAAAATCCTGGCTACAGAAATGCCCCAAATTTCATCGGCCTGTTTAATAATGACCATAATATTTTTTGAAATGTTCCAAATAATTAGGATATATAAAAAATATTCATCATCTAATTAAATGCACATAGGAAATTCTTTCTGATGTTCAACTAGGAGCTTCTGAAGTGTGAGTATGTGTACCCGCATGCAGAAATGAGTATATTACTTAATGTTTTTCATACATAATTAAAAATATTTTACTTACCATTCACAGTTCTGTTTTTATGACC